TCTCTATATTATATTATTAAGGCCAGTGTTCGGAAAACTATGAAACATCTCTCTTTCAAAATAGCTCAAAATTTTAAGCCGAAAGTTTTTAGTCAGTGCGTGTTGCCAGTTATACTTATGGAACCGAAATATCTACGTGGTTGTTCGTCTGGAATCGAAGTATCTACGTGGTTGTACGTCTACAAAAGCTTCAAATTAGGTTCTTAGTGAGCTATAGAAGTGACGATTTTAAATGCATTGCAGAGAGTTGGATCTTTGCGTGACAGATATGATACTGATATGATAATGATATTATTAAATATTTTTTTAAATTAAAAGTTAGTTGATTTGATTTTTTCATTAATCACATTAATCAGGCAGAAATATTATTTTAACAAATACAATTAATTATTATACCTTTCACTAAAAGGATTACTTGACTCTACTAAAACTGCATTAAATATATTAATTAAGTAGGTATAAGTAGCATATTTTTGGTTACACACAGTTTTTGTTACAATGAGAGTAAATTAATTTTCGTACTTGAAAATACAATGGTTAACTAGGTTTTATATAGAAATATTTGCAATACATTTTTTCAATGTAAAGAATTGACTGTTTTTACTACAAAAAAAAAAAAAACTAGTGCAATTCAAATTTCAAATGAAGAATGTGAAGTGAAGTCTGTAGATGTAACTTTTTTATAAATATTATGAAAGTATTCGTGTATACGTATATTCGTGTTGGTTGCGTCTCTACTTTTTATCCCGGTCAATCAATATAAGTATTATTAGACCAGTCACGATAGTCACTCGACCAGATGCAATCTCCTATGCATCTCGTTAGTTTAGTAGTTTTTATTATTATTATTTTAGTAATTTTTAACCCCTGTGTGGGTGCTGTCGCATATTTGTTCAAAATAAAGTTTCTTTTATTTCATTATTTCTTTTTTCTTTCTTTCAGTCATGCTAATAGGTCGTAAGCACAGATGGTAATAGTAATAAATTACTAAGCATAAAATTATTTTATTTAGTATACTTGTCTATATATAATTTAACATCACTGTGTTTATACTTTGGTAGATAAAACGCAAAGTTCGTAATTACAATGACGAGTCAGAGAGGCCTGACCCATGAACTGCAAAACCCAAATTAAACATCTTATGAACAGAAACATCTTGCCAAGATTCTCTTCATTAGGTTCTGCAAATTGCGGGGCAGGGGGTGAAGTGGGGGGAGGCGGGGCAGTGACATGGCGTTTAGCCCCCCGCCCGCCGCGCACCCCACCAGCCTCTATTAATAATGCAAATGAGACCGCACACCGCAGCTCGGCCAAGAAGCGAGTCTCGATTAATTCCGGTTCATTTGAGGTACCTAATTGTCGTTGCGCGCGTGCGGTCTGCGGTCCGTTGCGGCCCATTGCTGTACGTCCGCGCCTCTTATTCCTAATACTTGTTATGGTTTCATGGGGTTTTATACGTAATTACGTTAGTAACTTATAATACCTATTAAATATGTAAACACTTTACAGAGAGTTGTGTAACGTGTTGAAATACTCTAAACATTTATGGTATAGACTTTAGACACTTTTTTAAGTACCTAATACTCGTATGCCATTAATTTGTTACCTTGTAATTGTATACTTTTAATTAATTTATTATTTTAGCAATTTGTTTCTTCTCTTTCTAGTATATAATAAATAAGACGGACAACTAATACTTACTTAAGTCCATTTTGCTACATACCTAATGAATAAAATGAAAAGAACCGTTACGTTGCAGTGGATACTTGGTCGTAGCGCGCTACGAAGCTACGATCGATATCTACGCCACGCGACAGGCTCGAGATGCTACGAGTTTTTCTATCACATTTTATGTTTGTTTGTACATAACTTCCCCAACAATCTATACAAGACATGTACGTATAAACGAATGGGACTCTGCTGTGAGATATTTGTTCTGACTTTGGTGCTGTACGTAAGTGCTTTATAAATACGAGTACACTACTGATATATCAAAATTATTAAATAGCTTTTAATTAATTATTTTTAATTATTATTTACTGTTAATTATTGATAAATGTTTTTTATTTATTATCATAAATAATTATGAATAATTATTTATAAATGAAATAATTTAGAATAAAAACTAAAATAATAAGTCTGCAGGGTACATTACAAATACTCAAATATATGTACGTCATAGAAGGGAGTTTTTAAATAATTAATTTATTATAAATTTATATAATAATTTGGATCCATATTAGGGTACAAATACTCAATTATGGCATATAAAAAATAACAAAAAAGGTTTTTGGCGATAATGTCTATTGTAAAAAAGTTATTTCATTCATTGCAGGTTAATTTTTATAACTATATTCATAAATATATAATTTATATATACGATTGTTACTTACTCAATTTGAGCTATTTTTTTTTAGTTTTGTTACTGATATTCTGAAATTATAACAGTACAAATGAATAAAATTAACAAAAAGTATAATTCTTTCATGTTCAAATTAGAGCTTAGTCAATAAAAACTACTACATTATCCACATTATGTGATCTCTGTATACAAACTATTAAAATTATTTGTGAAGATATTTGGATGTCTATTAATAATGCATAATCGTCTAAACAAATATGAGTGAAATATGAATTAAAGACCATAATGCGTAAAACTCCCAACAAGGGAAGGTCTATGTTCAATAGTTTCAAAATTCAAAATATATTATTGATGTAGGTCTATTACAGACTCTTATGATATGTCAAATCTACTGTCAGTTCAGAATGATTTTGAGATGAGAAGAACTGACAAGAAACTCAGCTTGTATTCTTTTACAGTGGACAGTTAACGGATAGAGTATAATTAACATAAATTGATTTTGCATTTATATTAATATTATTATATTATATTTATTTGCATAATTTTCTTCAAGAAAAGATATTTAAAAGATACTATTATATTATATTTATCAGTCACTTACCATCAGGTGAGCTGCATGCTAGTTTGTCCCAATTTACAAGAAATTCATACTGTTAAAGTTGGAAAGATTAATATTAAAAATAATTAATTAATGGTAATAATTACTACTAAGATACAAAGGTACATTTTATTTTTAGGTAACATTTTATTTCATAGAATAAGGTTTGCTAGAAGAATCAGAAATAAGAACTAGAAATTAAAGATAAGCTCGCGTTTGTACATTACGTTTAAAATTATATGTTTTATAATTATGTTTGTTTGTAATAAGGAAATTAAGTAGTTAACAAATTAATTGTATAAATTCTCAGTAGCAATGTGTAGGTATAATCGGGTACCATGGACGCCTATTTACTATTTATTCGTTAGTGTATATCTAGGAGGTAGTTATGTATGTTCAGGAGGGCGCGACTACGAGAGGGGAGACAAAAATGGCCGCATACAATGCTTGAACATTTATGGAGAAAGCTTTATTTTAGAAGCAATATCGTTTGCAGTTAAAATTTTCCTCGATTTAAAAATTGTGATATAATTTTTTTTCTTTCACGTAGATTGTTATTTTTTATAGTTAACTTATCTTAGTAGAATCAAGGTATAATAATTGCTACTATTTAAATAAAAAAAAATGTACTCATTTTTATTTAATTTTTTTAATATTGTTTTTTATTGTTTTTGTATTGAGACAGTATTCTATGTCACAAATGATTTTAATTCGTATTTCATTTATTTATATTTCTTTAATGTCTAAATTATAATTAATGGCCTATGTCCAGCAGTGGTCGGATAATGGCTGAAATGAATTTAATATAAACTATGGGTATATACGTGTATATTCTATCATATTATCAGTTTATTCTAGCTGGATTCATAACCATGGTAGAATTTTAGCGTGCTCTATATATTTATAGTGACTAAAATAAAGTATTCGTCATCAGCGTCATAAAGCAGGCGTCTTTATGACGTCTTTATCTAAAACACATCTTGGGAAACATTTATCTTAGATGACTTTAACTACCATATTTATCACTAAACTACAGCCCTGACAAACTGTTTGACACTGTATTAGTAGATATATATGGTAAAAATAATTGTTTATACATATACTATAAATACATAAGAGACATTGAATCAACCTTAGGCCAGGTTGGTTCAAAAACGTGATTTGAACAAACTAAAAATTTAATTTGATCTAAACACTTTGACCAAGTTTTCGTTTCAGTCGACTGATACGTTCGTTTCTCCCATCGAAACTTTAAAAACAAATATCACTTGTTACAAAATCTTTTCTTATTTTACATGAGATTTCACCCGAGACTCACAAAAAATATCCGATACAGGTATTATAAACTAAGTAGGTACCTATACTACAAATAATTTATCAGATTTAGTTTTTCATAATAAATGTTTATACTTGTTTATATCAATATGGAAAGGTTTATCTTTTATATACAAAAGTTTTATATAAAAAAAAATATTGCTATTATAATAATTTCTGCAGAAATTTAACAGATTGTTAGTATCTATCCCGACTTCGCACGGGTAGATAGTTAGAAAGATAAATTAGTATTTATTAGCCTTAATTGACTTTATACCTTGGATTATATTATTGGAATTTTCGTCGGGTTCTCAAATTTTTTGAAATTAATATATAGTCACGCTGATAATGTAGTTTTCTATAAGAGATACAACTTTTAATATCGGTTGAGTAGTTTTTTAGTTTGCACATTACAACCGAATAAACAAACAAACATACAACAAAATAACTATTTCCTGTTTATAATATTAGTACAGAAGTGCAGAGGAGCTTAATTTTCAAACTGTATTTTTTTAATACTTAGAATGGCAAATGAGCTACTGGCGTACCTGATGGAAAGTAGTAACTGTCGCTTGTAGATAAAAATATCGTCACGGACATTCTAGTATAGTATGATTCAATAACCTGTAATTTAACTTATTAAAAATATTTTATATCTATAATATTTTAGACTGTAGTCATGACTATACTTTATTTATAATAATGTATTATTTTATTTTTTTACAGCTGGACTTCCTTACAAAGTATACGGCAGCCATGAAGGTTCGCTGACGGAAAAACGTAAACAACGACGAATCCGCACCACCTTCACTTCTGCGCAACTCAAGGAGTTAGAGCGAGCCTTTCAAGAGACGCACTATCCGGACATTTATACTAGGGAAGAAATTGCTATGAAAATAGACCTCACAGAAGCGAGAGTACAGGTATGTGGCGACGCATTTAGATTTCCCATTATATTGTTTTTATTAGCAAATTTATATATTTGCGTGTATATGTAAGTTCATTATTATCATTAATTTATGAACGAAGAGCACCGGCAAGAAGATATTACAAGAAAAAAAAAAAACGTATAAAATGGGAGCACAACAAAAAACATCGCTTTTCCCGCGCCGTCCGTCACATTTCCAGAGGCCAATTAGTGTCCAGTAATTCGGCTGCGGCTGACGGGCTGCCTACGTAAAAAAAGCAAGCCGACATTTCGCGGTTAGCTCTAGTTAATTTCATAATAAGCGCTCATTTTTATGTGAGTCGGGTGTAGGAGACGTGTGCTCCTTCTGAATGTTTAATGCAATCCAGAATCGGGCGTGAGCCGCGCCCGCCCTATAGTTATCTGATCACGTATAAAACCCAGAGGCGACGCGCGACCGGCGAACTGGCGACCCGACGACCTTATCTCATATTCTGGGAGATGACGCCCCCGGCGCAACCAGCGCTCTTATTGTTTCCAATGAAACAACATCGCACTTACATTATCATCCATTTTCATTTTTTTGCATACAATTTCAAAATAATTTTAACATATTTATTTTATGTTATATATATAAAATAAATGTGTTATATATGTTAAACTTTGCATAACATCATAGTCATATTCCTTATACAGCATAAAATATTTAAATCTTACTAATCCATACTAATATAATAAAGTGGAAGAGTTTGTTCGAATTCTGGAACTAAAAGTCAGATTTGAAAAATTTGTTATGCAATTGATGGCTCATTTTTTGAAGAGGTTATTCTATAATAGATATAGGCGACATCACGATATAAGTACGGACAAAGTCGTTACACTATTATATTAAAATAATAGATAAATATGATATTTATTTTACAAAAAACCTTTTTAAAAAAAGTTACTGAAAGAGAACATCATAAAATTATTTAATACAAAGAAGTTAGAGATTGTAAACAGACTTTTTACAGTCTCTAACTCCTATTGTCACTTTGTGTGTAATAAACAGTAGATACACAATGTAGATATCATCACGTTTATGTATATAATGTATCTGGGAAAACATGGCACCCTCCTGCAGCAACGAGCGCTCATTACGTTAAAAAGTGTATCGGAATGGCGGGGTGCCGCCATAAATATCGCGAGCGGTCGCGTAACTCAAGCGCGCGCGACTCCTGATAATTAAAACTCGCCTGGAAAATACAAATTTACATGATACGATTAAAACCGAGCAAAATGCACCGCGTTATACTTGTTTTGTACACTATGTTTACATTTTACAATATTCTTTTACATATATTTGTAAAAAATATAATGTCACCTATAACTTTTATCTACTTAAATTTAAATATACAAACGGTTTTATAAAAATGTATTGAGTATTTCGTTAAGTTTCGTTGATTAAGAGAATTATATACAAAAAATCTTAAAATATATAAACTAATATATAAATATAAATTAGTAAAAAAAGTCTTAAACTAGCGTTTCATACTAAAAGTGAGAATAAGCCCATAAAGTGTATTGTGTTATAAAAAGCTTACAAACGGTATTAAAAATCATTTTTACAACGTAATTGAAGACACATAGCTACATAAAAGTAATTGAGTGAAAATACCTAGCCGTTAGCCCGCGGTGGGCGCGAGGAGGGTCCAACACTCGAACCATACTCGCTTTTCAATTATTAATATTCATTCCCCAAATTTTACTTTGCATTGCGACGGTGGATTTTCCTGTGTCGACGATGTGACTGTTCGTAAAAAAATAAAAATTATTCATACTTTTTTATGTAACAATGACGCAAATGTGTCTCCATTCGTTAATTTTCAATTGTATTGTACCATGTACGTAAACCTTATATATATATATATATATATATATATATATATATATATATATATATATATATATATATATATATATATATATATATATATATATATATATATATATATATATAAGAAGATACCAACCGACTGATCAATATATAGCTGAAACTACTGGGCTAGACTCAACATGACTACTTCCTCAGGGGTTGAGCACTAAAAATAAATAATTTCCCAAATTTCTGCATTACCTACTTTATTAGGTACACTAGCTACATTACGTTCTTACGTTCCGTTTGTTGAATATAAAGTATACCTACTAGTTATTTCTTCAGGAAACATCTAGTATATTGAAATTAATTTTATACAGAGCAAAGATTTTACTTTTTTATTGTTAATGCATAAATACAAAAAAAAAAAGATTTTAATAATTACTTAACCTAAACATAAAGGTATATTAGTAAAGAGTAAAATGAATTAGGTATATTAAAAAAAAAACTGCGTAACTGGAACGGATTACTAGTCTGTCTTATTTGAAATTTTATACAGTATTCAATAAATACGTAGAGATTAGAAAGATATTTCCCTATATATTATAAAAAAATATTTGTTCATTATATTACATTTATCAAAAAAAAAAAAATTCTAATGGAAACATGAAAAATATTACTTAACTTTAAGTGAAAAGCAACATAAATTATCAATTATCAAATTAATAAAATATGAATCCTTTTTGAGTGTACGCGCCAAAGCTAACATTTTTTAACGAAAATAAATATATACTGATGTCCTATTCTAATTGGATACGCAAATTTTGGTCAAATTCATCAGAGGCGGTTCGCAAACAGAATTGGTGCGATGTAAGTATTAAGCAAACGCTCAATTCGTTTGGCTGATGTGAATAAAAACTCAGCCACCTGCTCGCTCGCTTAGAGCAAAAGGAATCACTTGAAAAATGACCAGCTGCTTTTTAATACACAGCGTATTTTTTCTGTGCCCACGTTGTCATAGGGATAGGGCAATTTAATCCATCAAGCCATGTAGCACGATACCATCCGAGTCAATAAATTCTGTATTATAACAGAACATTTTGGTTTTATTGTTATTCCCGTGTGGTAAAAATGATTAGTACCTACATCAAAGAATGATAAAAAATATTTAAGAATTGTGTTTATTTATTCGTTTGTAACATATTATTGTATAGTAAATTAATAAGTAATAGGATTCAGAGTTTTTACGAAAAAAAAAATAATACAATGGCGTATTTATGTATTCATTATTATTTTATATTAAAAGAATTATATAATTTTAAATTTAATAATGTTAATTAATCAGGATTGGAAGATTATTAAATATGTATATGCTATAGTTTCTTTGGATTGTCAAATATGAGTATGTTATTGATTTGATTATATTATTTAGTGTTTCTTGATGATTGTTTTAAAATAAAAAATACACAAATACAGAAGGTTCAACAATAACCCCAACAGCGAGCTGGGCACTTTGTGTTATTGCAACGATTGTAGCGGTCACTTGTAATGTCACGGGAGACGGCACGATGGGCAAGAGAGGCTCACGAGGTTTGCAATAAAGATTGACGTGTCGGCCTCCGGGAGCTGCCGGCAAAATGTCAATCCAGCTCTCGATCTTACATCTTGCGCCTACAATCTGTAGGGAATTGCACTCTCTACTTCATTCTCTAATTAATTTATATATGTATGATATAATCTTGATGCCTCTTGATACTTTTTAATTGATTATTTATTAATTTAAAAAATAAAAAAGCCAATGTCTTCAGATCAGTCCGATAATGTTTAACCGTGGCCCAGAGATTCTATGATCGTTTTCTAGAATTTCCAAATTAATGTTTGGATCATTTAACAATAAATATTGCCACTTTAATTGTGCGTATAATTCATATTAAAAAAGGGATTGTGTATTCTATGGAGATAAATTTATTGAAGTTTTCACTGATTTCAATTAAACAGATTATAATCATATAATTTGATACAATCTGTGATAGACAAACAATTATGGACTGTTGTTAATCCCGATATTAAGGGGTGTGAGTACGAGTGCAGTACGAGTGGATCGGAAGGTCATAAACGGAGTTATGATCTGAAGTTGGGGATCCCTAGCAGGTGGTACATGCGCTGCCACGCGCTGCCACGCGTCCGCACGCGCCAAGCACGCGTGCACTCCGCTCGCTTGATTACACACACTTGCCGCAAGTGTTTGTCACTGCTGATCGACAAATGGGAATTATAAACAGTTATTTTATATTACTATCGGGGTTGTTATGAAACCATAATCATTTTATTGCTTTGATTATCCTTATGCATCTCAAAAAGCCAAAGGAAATAGGTTAATTGACATTAAAAATGTACAATTATAAAAATTTAAACTTCTACCCAATAAGTTTGTAGTAATTATGTGTTGAACTAAATTAAACCTTTATGCTAAATTATTGCCATTATATACAAAATAATGTACTTTGTGTATATTGGCTAAAAGAAGGTTATAGGTAATTACGGTTATCAGAAAATATGTAAATTCCACAAATATTAAATAACGAGCATCATATTATTACATTTATTTAATTATTATTATCTTTATCTATCCTAATAATGAAGTAACGCGTTCGTGTTTCACTGTTCATTCCAAAGGTAGAGAATGCTACTAGCATTAAGTCCGTCTTTTGTACCATTTTTTTTATCAATAAAATTATTTCAATAAATAAATAATTATAGTAAATACGGAGTTTTCTTATATTACTGTAAAATCAGCATTAAATATCTATATTATTCTACTAACATAAACGTGGTGTCTGTTACTCAATGACGCTTACTCAGCTGAATATATTTAAAAGAAATTTGGTATATAAAAAGACCTTATTTTGGATTAACGCATAGGATACTTTTATTGTAATTCATAAGAGAAAAACTGAAATAGTAAACATATAAGTATTTAATCATAGTCTGTATATGGAAGAACGGTTGATTATTTCTCAAGCCGTGATAGTGTTTAATTCAAATAATAGCGACGAAGTAATGGTAAGGTTTAGCGTTAATCCTTAGTTAATCGCGTTGATTGCCGGCGGTTGATGCTACGGGGATCAAGTAATCACTTAAGCGGTGGGTCGATTCGTCCC